GTGCTGGATTCGCGGTACCGATAGAGTCTTACGCCAAGATTGGATTTTTCCTACCATCGAGCCGAACAGCATCGAGAGAGAGAGAGAACGGCTTTGGAAGCAATGAAACCGAGGTTTGGAGTCCGGAGTGAGGGAGTATCGAAATTAAACTATCGATTGCAAGATCTTTAAAAAAATCACCTCTATCGAGATTCCAACCCTTCACCCCCATAGAGTTAAGCGGTTCGTGCGAGTTTCGGGTTTTTTCCTCCTGCTCCGCTCTTAGGTCCGGTTTTGAGACAGATGGCAATCCGTTGCCTATTGTGGTACTGTACTGTACAGTACTCAGTGCTTCCCAGTGGCCCCCGTCCGGCGAAGACCGGTCTTGACCACAGAAGACGAGGACCACGCCGTCCAGGACGAGAAAGGGACCTGCTTGGCAGAGCAAAGACGAGGCAGACTGTACTTGTACTCGCCCACAGTCCCTCCATCTACGTTGTACTCGTACTGTCCGAAAGAAAAAATCTCCCCGTGCGCTGTCTGGATCATTTGATAGTGTCGCTGCTCACAACACTACCGTACGCTTTGTTTCTTGCTCGCTAGAAGCGGGGTGCCACGGACCGCGTCAAAACATAGCAACCCTGGAGCGGCGGGCGGAACGTACTTGTAGGCAAGGAAGGAAATTTGCATTCAGAACACTTGAATCAAGAAAAACACCACCGTGAGCCAACGCCCTACGGGATCAAATACCAACGCTCGGGGTCTCGAGCGGGGGGCATTGCACCGCTAGTTGACAGCGCTGTGCCAACTTGGATGTGAGAAATATTTCTTACTTGTGGGAGGTCGAAATTTCCCCGCTAAGTAACGCTTTTTTTGCTGACACGCCCCCGATATCTCGTCGAGGTCAAAATAGGAAACTTGGACGTCCCGAGAACAAATTGCCCCTGTCCGAGTTAATACCGTATGATAGTGATCACCGGAACAGCTCAGATGATATCAACGTCCAAACAGAGTTGGTCTCGGGTGAGTAGGATGCACTATACACCTTACTATGTTGGACAGTGTTTTGTGCCAGGGTTTTACATGATGCTTATGTTAAGGCAATAATATAAAGCGGAGAAACAGCGACTAGTATCATACTTCAAGAAAAAGGGTCGGGAAAAGTGCGTGCGTGCATGAGAGTGTTCGCACGCAAACAAGAAGAAAATATAGCAAAAATCCTACGAGACTGTTGCCTCTACGATATGATCGTTGCTGCAAGCAACTATGATAATAACCCTAATAGGCTTAACTCCTGTGGCTATTATGGTGACTTGCGAGGAAGTTCGCAACCATGGCGTGTTGTTTCTTTGTCAGCGGTTTGTTCGTAGTATTGGGGGTGCACGGTATCGACGAATGGGGCAAAGATAGATAATTCGTCAGGCCTCAGATAGCATGAGACTTCAGCAAGAGCACAGAGAAGCATACTGACAATTGCAAAGCCTTTCTATTTGTGACTTTTTACTTCTCTTTCCTTCTCAATTTTTTCTATTTCTTTGTTCACCAAAGTTCTTTTCTTGAGTTGATATCATACCTAGGACAGCGTTAGAAGAATACCCCTTTTTAGGCATTCTCATCTCATCCTGACCCAGCCTTCTGGAAGTGTCAAACACCCACGAAAGAACGCCTGAGCAAGAAAGACCGTAACAGTACTCGTCTGCCCGTCAACTATAGTCAGGACGAGTCCGGGTCGACTAGCTAGCGGTCTTCCAAGGTCCGGTCCGAGGACGACCCTAGACGTCTACAGCAACTCCAGGCGGGTGAGACCACCAGCGGCACAGGTGGCACTTTCAACTAGATTATAACTAAATTTACCTGCGAAAGAAAGGTAGAAGAAAGTTATACTTGGAAGTCTTCTGTTATGCACTTACATTGTGTTGTGGAAATTTTCACGCTCGTGATGATGGCGGAAATGATCCGAAACAGAAGATAAGAGCACGTTGTCGATGAAAGCTGTGGATGGGAAGGGACGGCCGGCTTAGAAACTGTTGAAAGTGTGTTTGTTCTAGGACTGGGAATGGGCGACCATATGTACGAAAAGATATACATGATACATGATAAGAGACAGTGCGCGCTCAAACACCCAAGACAATGCCCACTCGCACGCCCAGAATAACCATTCGTGCCTCCACACATATCATACCTACTATCGGGACTACCCCAGCAGGCAACACTCCAGAAAGGTCCCCGCTGGTCCCACACTCCATAGTTCACAAAAAAATATTAATGCCGGAGACCCGCTGACCAGCGTCTAGTAATCACCTCGTTTATGTCAGACAAGCGAGTTCAAAGCAACGCTCGCACCTCGGCTAACCCCGGGGAGAATCTCATAAGGCACTGTGGGACCCGTGGATGGCCACGCCATCGATTACGACCAGAGGACATGGTCTCAATATGAGAGACGTGGAGCGGATCTCCATCATGTATTTAAGTTCGGTGGTTTGTACTGTATCCCGAGAAGAGTAATGCCCCCCCTTACTGCCGTACACAAGAGGTCTCCCACAGTAGGGCACATTCGCACCACTACCGTACTCGAATGCACAACTCCATACCCCATAATGAGATATCACGCAAGATTATCCCCCTCCTCCCCCCGGATCTGCTCCCTAATGGCAGATTACCAGAGGTTAGGCTAACCACAATCACCCCGCTCCAGCAAATACGTCCTTCGTAAGGTGGGTGAATCCGCCACAAAACCCCCCCGAGCCCCCCCGCAGCCGATACATTAGGACCCCCCGCTATGCCGGATATCAGGTCTACAGTTCCCAAGTATCGTAAGGGCTTCCTCTGCGACAACAATGAGGGAAAATTGATTTGACTCTCCGAGTCTGATTCCGGTCAGTTCTGCTTCTGCATATCCGTTGGCGGCTCAATCGGGGTGCTTGGGAATCTCGTTAGGACTTCTAGAATTTCCCCCTTGGATTAAGGATTAAGGGGAGAGAACACAGGGAAAATATTACGTCCCGCCTGCAAATGGGACCAATAAAGAAAAAGAAGAAAAAATACAACAGTTCTTACTAGGAGCAACTCCAACACCCTCGTGGGATTCTCAATTATTCCAGCTTTTGCGGTAGCTAAAGTGTTGGATCGGAACGTCTCGTTCGACCACATTTTTTTTACACCAAAATCATCGATTTTCACCGCTCCCTCGGAACCTCACAGATTCTTAGTAGTCCTAGCGAATTGAGCCCACCACGAACCTTCCTGGCTTTGCTCCGTCATCGGCCAGCCCCCGGCCCCAACTCGCCCCGCCCACCCCCAGAGCCAGCTACCGCCAAACAACACATCCCGAGAATGTGCAGAAATCCCTACACAATTGGTATTATATCACAGGGGGCCTGTGTTGACATACATTTCATTCCTCTATAAAATTTTGGTTAAGGTTTACCAGGCTCTACCTGAAAGTCTGAGCGCTTGGTGTGAACTGTCTTTCCCATGTTATCTGGCAAATATTGTTTCAGCACAGCAAGAAGTTGAAAAAGAGCATCGGACAAGCAGATCAAGTATCTAGCACAAAATGATTGGTTGCACCGATACTGCATAAAATCCACTCTCAGCTGGGTAGTTAGTAACACTGTGCGGCGCACACAGGTGGCTACTTGTCAGAAAGATAACCAGTCGACATTCCCCCACGGCCTCAATATCACAAGAAGTCACTCGTCCGCAAACATCCTTTCCAGTGGATGTTAATGCACGGTCAGGGTTGCTAGCTAGTCCCGCATGCCCTACATGTGGCCACGATCCCGGAAGGTTTCCCCGACCGACATCACATTCTAAGACATTGAGAGAACACAACTGCGCCCGTTATCTCGGCCCTTCAGCAGAATTCTTTGGGGAAAATCCTCGCTAACATCGAACGCACTACCCCGCCACGAACGCAACGTATCCCTGCCCACCTTCCGCCTGCGGTAAGCAAAATAACATTATTCGCAGCTACGGCGGAAACACCGATTATTCGTTCGTTCCCGCATCCCCGTAGGCCAAACTATATATCAAACACCAGTGGCGATCCAACAATTCCCACAAATTAGCAGCACATCGCTATCTCCCAGAGTGGCTACCAGCACGCAATAGGAACCCAGGAGCTCCATGGATTTTCTCATTCGGCTCAACAGAATACGGTAGCAGAAGCTACGGTTAGTGAAAGCCCGGTGATTCAAGTACCCGCTATTCTCAGGAGGGTGACAGTGGAAAGACGACCGGGGGGGCCTAAGAACTATCAGAATACTAGAACCGAAAGGGGACTCGTGTTGCAGCGCGGCCCAGGCTCTTTTGCGGTTCTCAGGGGTCCTCCAGCCTTGCGGGGGCCCGGCCGTTTTCGGAACACGTTTGGGAGTTGCTATGGTAACCAGGATTTAACGGGAACGTTGGGTGTGATTCGGGGGTATGGCTGCAGGAGGAGGGAGGTTGATTTTCGTGGTGTGCCCAAGGCGCCCCCTGCCGAGTTCTCCCAGTGTCTTTTTTTCACACTCTGACAAACAGAATGCGGTCTGTTCCAGCGTCGCGAGAGTTCTCGCTCTGCTGCAAGTACCCGCACGCAGGATAGGCACCACAAACAAATATTGACCAATTGGACTGCAAACACTTGCCAATTCTCGCGACGTAGGAATAGACTAAGATACTGGTTGCCGCACTGGCACAGGAAACAAGCACCCGAATACAGGGATCAAATAAATGTGTGGCCAGTAGTCTGTGCTCATTAGTGCCCCATACATAATTCGGACCTAATCTTCGGGTACTTTGTTGCTTGCAACAAAGTACGAGTACGGTACGTTGTGAAAAAGTAAATCCCAAAGTACTTAAAGAGCCTATATTGACCGCTCAAACACGCGTTGTCTTTTATACTCCTTCACCCCCACTAGTCTCTCGTTGTTCATCTTTCAATACTGCTCTTTACTACTTTTCTTTACCCTCTTTGCTCACCGTCTCCCTTATTTCCTTCCCATTCTACACCCCGATCTACTCTCCCCTATCTCTCCACCATGTCAGTTTCCGACCCCATCAAGCCAAACCCAGACAACCAACCTGTTCCTCTCATCTCCATCCCTGAGAGCTCCTACATAGCTGACCTTGCAGAGAAGGCCTATGAAAAGGGCAGCACGGCATTCTTGAGACTTAAGGCTTTGTCGAGAGTGAGGGATGTTGTGCTCAGACCGGAAAAGCAAGGCAAGGACATAGTCTGGAATAGGATAGCTAACCACGAGGCTATCCTGGGGCATACAAGAGGGAAACTGCAGGAGAAGCCATGCAATACCTGTGTACAGAAGATTGGGCCCTTTGCGGACTGTGTCGCCGTTACGGGAGAATTTCTTGGCTCTTGCACAAACTGTCACTACAATAGCTGCGGGAAGAGGTGCTCTTTTCGCTACCCTAACCAGACACCCGGTTGTAAGTACTTGCAAGCCCCCATATTATTTTGAACTCGATTAAGCTCACCATTTGCAAACCCACCCTCAGCGAAAAGGAAACGCTCCCTCTCGGATGCATCATTTGTAGAATCCGGGGGCGATTGCGATCCGCCTGCAAAAACTGTCAAGACCAGAAAGGGGGATAGGGCCCAAGATTTTGCAGTCCACTGGGATGGATTGTCTGGAATCATTCGGGATTTGATTGTCGAGAAGGTTTTTGGGACCGGAGCTTAATTTATTTCGTTTTGTTTGCCCGTTTGGCTTGCGAAGACTACTTGCATTCTGTCACAAAAATTCTGTACACTCTTTACAGTTGTCTCACAACCTCATGTACTGCAATTATAATTATTTACATCCCGTCAACAGACTGCCTGAACTGGAATAATTGAACCTCACGGTAAGACGTCCAGAATTCCCCTCTTTAGATAAGGGGGGGGGGTCACGAGGGGAGAGAACTGGCTTTTAGCCCTCCGCCGAGACAATTAAAAAGAAATAAAAACGGTCCTTACTAGGAGAGGCAACTCTAGCGTCGAAGTTGTGAGGTTCAATTATTCCGGTTCTTACGATGCCAATACAATATCTACCTGCTTGTAAATCCCTGTTCTCCACTGATTGGTTCTGCACACTGCTAGCAATTGACCCAGTTGGTGTAGCGCAACTTCACCTACAGTAAACCACAGAGGAGGACGGGGAGGTAATACCACCCGTTTTTTTTTTTCCGAACTTGACCCAAACCAGGACTCAGTCTGCACACAAACTCTACTTAAACGACTGTCTATGCATGATATTATGATACCTGTCTCTGAGCTCCCGTGGTTCTCGACGTGACATAGCCTGGGAACGCAAACAAACAAACACTGCTACTGTAGGGTAGCTCTTTATTTTCGGCTCTTACAAAGTTCGGTATCATACAAACCCGAAATGTACACCACCTCGCTCTCCCAAAAGTCTCCGGAAAGCTAGAGAGTTGCGATGGCATCTCCCACAATAACAATACTAATAATCGGATGCATTTAATCCAGGGAAGGCCCTCAGGAGGGGAGAAAGTTGGAGAAGCTTGGTGCTGGACAGAAAGTGAGCAAACAACTCTTGAGATGTAGTTGTACTTACTCGTACAGCACAGTTACCGCTCCTTGTGAGGATGAGAGAACCCGGATTGTATCATATCATACCCCGGAAAAAGCTACGGTAGTTAGGTCCGAGATACGAGTACGGTATCAGCGGAGCAAAAAGATCCACTACTATCCAAGGAAATCTGATTGCTATGCGCGAGTACTGGTTTGCAGCCTTTCCCAATTGACTCGACTCACCCCCGGAACTCCCAATGCTTTCTCGGGTTGGATCTTCGTTCGTCAAAACTTGCTCTCTTGCTCGCTTCTCTCTTGCTCGGGTCCTCTGGGGGCATGTTACGATAATGGTCCCCACTAAGTATGTGCATTGCCGGGTCAACGTCACCCTCATATCGGATTTTTTTTGCCAAATGCCATCATCTAACGCTACAATATTATCATCATCATCAAAACTAAAATACACATGACGAACAAAAAAAAATTAATACCCTAGATAATGGCTTCTAAACTCTCGACGGAGGTAATGTCCGGGCAAGACACGCTACAATTATCAATGAGGTATATGTAAAAAAACGCAATAATATCACTGTTGAGAAAGAAAATTCGAGTTGGTAAGTATCGTGCCTAAAACAAAAACTCGCTCCCTCCTTGTGGTTAGTCTATGTATGATATGTGCGATCCCGGCGTTGGTCTAGCCCCCTCACCGGGTTTTTACGAACTGCTGGGTGAGTCAAAGTCTAGTTTTATATAGATCACCGGTCAAGGAAAAAAAAAAAGGAAAAAGAAAAAAAAAATCGATATCATGAGTATGGCAAGAGGGGGGATATGGTGGTCCATTTGCCAGGAGAAATCCTGGCGGTAATCTTTTCCTTTTCCACGTACCTGGCACACACATATATATAACAATATTATATATAAAAGGCTTGAAAGGTGATGCGATTGACAGACAGACAGACTGACTACGAGTAGATATTATAATTTTAAAAAATTTATCAAAATCTGATATCACAGTATTACCATAGATAGATAGATAGATAGATACAGTTGCTAGACATAAGTCTTGGTGATCGCACCATTTGAAACACTGTCGGTGTGCCACCTGGGCATTGCATGATAACCTCCCACCTGGATGAAGGTGATTAAATTAAAATTAAAAATTAAAATACATAGTGCTAGTACTTAGTATACCATCCTTTCGCCTCAATAACTGCAGCTACGCGGGAGGGCATAGACTTCCACAGCTTCTCAAAAAAGCTATCTGGAATGGTCTCCTAAACAAGTAGTAGGACCTCAGCTAACCTATTGTGAAGAGTGTTAGCCACTGGCCCCGGCCTGGTAATAATATTTTGGCAGCTAGTCTTACATTGCCCATACTCGATCAGGTCCACCTGGTGTGTTTAAGATATTAGGATATTGCTTGTAGAGGCAGCACTTAAGTTCTACCCAGGCATGCTCAATTGGGTTGAGATTGGGAGAGAGGGGAGGATGATATTCCAAATCAATATTATTATTCTCGAGCCATTGGAGTGTGTCACACGCTGTGTGAACCTTTGCATTATCCTGTTGAAACAAGGGATCACCAATATCATCTGTGATCTCCTGTATGACTGGGCCCAAAACAGAATCTAGAAGCCGAATATAGACATATCTGTCTACCCTTGCCTCCCTCATTGAGACTAATAGACCCTGTTTTTTTCCCCCAAAGCAGCCCCAAACCATCATTCCAATCTCACAAACCTTCCCCCTAGGCTGAATACAAGATGTGAGCCACTTTTTCTGAGATGTGTGAAACACCCACACACGCTGAGGATCTGCAGATTTTCTCACAGTGCATTCATCACTATAGAGAATTCCCTGAAAATTGTCGATTGTCCAGTCCTTTCTAGCCAAAGCCCATTCTAGTCTAGCCTTGATGTGTCTCTCCTGCAACTTTGGCCTTTTCTGAGCAAGCTGCTTTCATATATTGGCTTGCCAGAGAACACAATCGATAGTTCTGAGAAACACAGAGGGAGCATAATGATTGCACAATTCTGATTAGGTCATTGCTCGACCACTTCTCTCTGCACAAATGATAGCTCGCTTTTCTCGGCAACTCAATAGGGCAGGTCGGCCAGATTGGATTGTGTTGTCCATGGATCCACAATCACAGGCACGTGCTAGGAAATTGCGGACTGTTGACTAGGCGTGTCCAACTAGATAGACAACGGTGGAAATTGTCTGAAAGGCATAGAAGAAGGCAATGATCATGCCTTTCTCAGTATTGGTCATCTCTCAGCATGCTGTTTTAGGCTTATACTAGAAGTGATTGGCTTGTTTGGGAGGCATTGTTTTGTTGGGTGTAACGTGATAGGTATTCAGGTTTGTGCGTGATTTTTCAATAAGGAGAGGTAGCTTTATTCTCACTTAGCTGTCTGCTCACTAAGCTTTCACCAAGACTTATGTCTAGTCACCGTAGATAGATAGATAGCATTTGGCAAAAAAAACCTGGAAGAATCTGATAGAAAGGAGGTGATGGTGAGGTATGGTAGCAGTGTAAGTTAGTATACTTCCCTTCCCAACTTTTTTTTTTTTTTTTCCTATGTATGATGCATCTGGTGGCAGAATTATTATTATTTTGCCAGATGGAGCAGATATATCATTTTTTCTTCTTTCCTCCACTGAAATGTATTATATATGTATGAAAAAACTATATCTAACCCAAAGGTGTGTATAATATTATAATAGGAGTGAGAAGACCTAACTCACATCCCCCCCCAATCTATCATTGACACCCCCTCGCACTCTTTCACATACCAGATGAATTTCAAAAGAACGTCTTTCTTTTTATTAACTGCCAGCCCTATCATCCCCCTCGAAAGTTCAATCGCATACATCACGCGATAGGCAAAACCCACAGAGCCCTGGCGCCAGGGATTATTTCCTGAGATGAAAATGTATTTAGCGATCACATATCCATGACCGAGTAAAAATTCCAAGGCCGGGGAGGCGGACCGCGGCGTGAGTGAAAGTACGGTAGACTTCAAATACCACCACGCCAAACAGCGGAGAAGTAGAAAGGGGGTTGTTCCTTTTTTTGGAGCGCGTGGATGGTTTTGAAAAACCTCACCGTTCTCATAATGCTGGAGGGGAACGTATCATATTATAGAGTACAAGTGGCAACCGGCCTCCGGCCGGATGTTAATTTTGAATACAAGGATAAATAAATTATATTGAATGAATACGGCCATTGTGGCCAACCAGTATAGTGTATATATATATATTTTTCCAGTAATAATATCCAATTGAAGACAATCTCATTTACCAACATACATTCTGTATTGCATATCCTACTCCCATTCCTCCTCTCCCACTTCCAATTCCTTCTCCAAATCATTTCCATCAATCTTTTGGCCCATATACCTCTGCCAAATATTCAGAAGCCTGTTAGGAAAAACTATATTAAGGCCTACCTGTCCTCTACCTCTGCCAGAGTCAATACTCTCTAGCTTTGCTAAACTGGTACAATGAAACATTTTCATCTGCCATGCCACCATAGTGTTTTTTACTCCTTGAATTCTGATTCCATAATCAGAAATAAAGAAGTTACCCCCCTGACCTTCTCCTAGGCTTCTATCAGTTGTTCAGAATAGACTATACTTATGATGTGCCCTATATGAATTGCTCTAAATCTTCTAATTAGTAGTTTTTTCAAACAAACTTTGTACTTTATAGTATACCTGGAATAGTTGCTGGCAAAGAAGCCCACTGGAGGGGCTAGCTGCCCTTGTTGAAACTCATACTTCTCTCCCTCATACTGGATAGTATAAGTATTATTTTCGCTTTTTCTTCTATTATCCATTCTCTTGATTCCTGTTTCCAGAAACTCCTCAATATCCTAGCTCATCTTACTATAAATAAGCCTTCTAGCTATGTTCTAAAATAGTGCAATATACTATTCTCTGGATAATTGATTTCTTGCTGCTCTTGGGTATTATAACTTTTAGATAAAATATGTTTTACCTAATCAAAGCGAGGATGGCTTCGGGACTCTGCAGAATAACCAGTCTAGACAATTCTTCCTAAATCTTCTAACTATAGTATAGGTTTCAATTTAGTATAATAATAATGGTATAAACATTGAATAGAAACTTACTCTTGCATTTATCTTTCTATCAATACTTGTCATAATAGTTTGATGAATCTATTCAAGAATACAATGATATTACCTAGGCATAAGGTTTCTGTAAACCATAGCAATTATCTCGCCATAATCCTCATCTAAAATGATTGTACTTTGATAACCAGTAATATCTAATGTCAATCACTCTCTTTCCAACTCTAGAAGAGGGTGTCTTCTTAACCTAGTATCTGGCTGACTTTTATACAAAATGTGATCATGCCAGAGTTCTTGAATTTCCTTCCTTTCATAAATTCAATGATTAGGTGGAGGATAGA